TGTCTCCCTTATTTCAATATGTTTCAATGATTTGCTTTTGTCACTCGAAGATTCCGATTGAGCAAAGTAAGCCTCTGGAGGCATATGTATTTGGTTATTCTTCTTGGCACGGTGTGAGACGGTGTTGTTTGATGCCGTTTGCATCCATTCGTTTTCTGTTTCAAGCTGAGAATTTTCTAGCCTGGTTTTTGCGCCATTGAGGAAGTGGCTGCCAAGCAAAGTCCAAAGTGCACAGAGCTTTGAATCGAGGTAGAAAAGGAACACGTGCGCGTTTGTTTGGATCAGGAAAATGATGGAATGGCATGGCAAGTTAAGGTCCATTTTCAAACTGTTCAAGTGCCATTGTTTGGCACCTACAAGAGACCAGAGACATTCAGCTCAAAGGTGATGTTTTGCCAACTATTGTTCGCAGCCGTATATCAGCAACACCTGCTTTCACGAACAAAGTGTCATTTCTGTCCACCCTTGCGCAAGGCTGCGCTGGCCCTTGCCGACATTGCCCAGGCCTTTGCTGTTCTGTAGGTCGTGGTCGTGAGTCTGAGGGATTGGCCGCTTTACCAGAGTCGTGATTGGCCGCTGTGACTGAGAGCCCCCAAACTTGCAGACCATGGACTGTTGCCTTTTTTTTGCCAGGTCACTGGCACTCATCAAGATCTCTTGGAGGCCACGAGATCACTGGGACTGATTCCCACCTGCTTTCTTCCTGCTAGAGTCTGCTAGAGCAACGATCAGTTTGAAGGTAGGCTTCTGATTTCTTTAGCATTGCCAAGCCTGTTGCCTCTGTATGCATTTGTTTCCTTTCCAACAGGAAGACCAGCTGAACTGCCTTCCAGTGCCAGAAGAGGTTCTCTATTGGGTTATTCCCCAGATAGGGAGAACTATTGGGGTTCTTACTTCACGTATCTTCAAGTAGGAAGAGTTGGCGCAGGTAAGAGATGCCTGTGTGCAGTTTGGAGCCTGGGTGCTGGTGCCGCTGCCATTGGATGCTGCTGCCAGGAGGCTGCCGCTGGAGACTGCAAGCGCACGCATCTTCTTGCAGTTCGTATTTGCGACTACAATATCTAACAGTGACGCATAGCCCACCGCGAAAAAGCGCTCGTTTGTGTGCCTATATGGCGCGTTGGAGCCTGTGCTGGTGCTGCTGCCGGGTGCCGCCACAAGGTGCTGGCCAAATTTCTGTGCCGCTTGCGCTTTGGAGCTTGCATGCTGGTGCCAATGCAAGTTGCTGCTGCAAGGTGTTGCTGCCAGATGTCCATGGCAGTCTGCGCTTTGGAGCTTGTGTGCTGGTGCTGCTGCACGGCGTTGCCGCCAGATGTTTGTAGCAGTGTGTGCTTTAGAACTTGGATGCTGGGGTCGCCAGATGTCTATGGCAGCGCGCAACTTGCAGTGTGGGAGCAATTGCTATTGCTTGCATGCTGCCGGCAAGTATCCTATGCTTGGTAATTTTGCTGGAAGGCGGAGCTGCCAAACCTTAAGTTAAGCAGTGAACATTTGCCTCGAAGGTCTTTGAGAAGCTAGCGAAAGATGAGCAGGACTCTGCCGGGAAGCCCAACTTTATGGACAGGAGTTGCCTTTGCTGACTGCCTTCGCTGCCCACATACTCAAACGCCACTTTCCAATACTTATAGATGCGCCCATGGAATATTGTTTTCTTGTGTGTGCTTCAAAGTGTTTGGGGAGCTGAGCAGATGTTTCAAAGGTTTGGGTTTAGGTTGCGGCAAAAACGCATCAAAGGTGGACGGCTGCACACAGCATGAACCAACACACGTTGATACTGCACGTGTTGGATATGGGGTAGTATCCAACAGCAGGGAGCAGGCATGTCTCAAATTCAAAGGTAGTTTCAAGGCTGAAGATGCTCAGCTGTGCTTAGAATGGAATTGAGCAATCATGAACATACACGATCACGGCCCAAACAAACCACCAAGGTCCGGCTTCTTGCCATCAACAACTGCATGGCATTGGGCAGAATTGCATCTGCTCCGGAGTGGAAGGAGATGTGAGCTTGACATGCGAAACAAGAATGAGTGAGAAGAATGAGCCATAATGACCAAAATATTTCGGGAAAACCAATCGTGCGCCTTTGGTGGATAGATGTTCTTTCATCTTCTTGATTTTTCTTGTAACTGACATTCAAGTATGCGGCTTGAGGAGAAGATCATCGAGGTGCTTCGTGCGTGTGCAGAGGAGAAGAGTTGGAGAGTTCGATACATGATGGTGACGAACTCAGATCCGTAGACATGTTTCAACACAGCGTTCAAGTATGTTCAAGTGGTGTGTGTCAATCATGCAATCGGCGAGTACGGGACCAGTGTACTTAATATTTTCCGTTTCTCCATGATGTGGCAGGACCCTGGCAGCATTTGCCTTTGTTCTCAAAGTTGTTGTAACTAGGCTTAGGTAAATGTTGCAAGCTTGCAGCAGAGATCATGGCGCTGGTAGCGTGGTAGTATCACTCTTGACCACACGGTTGCCAACTTTGATTGGGCAGTAGGGTTGATCAAGCTCGACAATGAGTCTACAGTCATTTATAACAGTCATCTATAATCATTCAATGTAGTTTAATTCATTATATAGACTCTGTATAGATCACGCTGCATTTCAGAGCTGCACCGTGACACCGTAAGACATTCACACATTGTTCTCGTTTGTGAGACATTGTGCCACTGGCCGACATGCGAGTCTCGTGAGGCCGACAATGTGAAGGCATTGTGTGGGGTCTTCAAGGACCTGTGTTTTGCCTGCGCCCAAAAACCTCAAGACACGTTACACATCGTTTTGCTTCGGAATGGATGTGACACCTTTCTCACATTGAATACATTTTCGATGCTGTCAGGATCAAACCATTGATGTCATCATCCCGCTACTTACTTGCGCAGCATCATTTGTAAACTGCACTTACTTGGTTTCATTCCTTTTCTGTTGAACATTTCAATGGCAAGAACTGAACTGATGTTTTTCTTGAGGATATATAATTTATCGCCGTTTTGTTCACTTCTTTTAGTGCTTTGCTTTGGATAAAGTGACGTGCCAGTCTGCCAGTCATCATCGGGTTGCCATCGGGTTCGGTTCCGCCCTAGGCTCTATTTGCGGCTTCTAGGCGATGCTGAAGTGGAGGTGACATTGAGTTACTTTGAAATGATTTGTAAGCAGGACGCATATTATCTACCGCAGCTGCACTTTGTTGGAAGAATAGCTCAGCTTGTGGCAAAGCCAGTGAAGACGACTGGGCTCTCTTTCAGAGGTGCGAACCATTGCAGCTGCCCGAGTAGCCGGTGTTGCTGCACTATATCCAACCAAGGTGCACCTGGGACACAAGGAGGAAGTTCCCAGAACACGGGACACCACTGAAGATGCTCAAGACATCTCAAAGCACTGCGAGTACATTGTTTTACTCTCAATGATTTTACATTGTTTTACTCTCGGGTGAGTGCAGGATTTCTTCGGTCGGCTTGGGGACCGAAATATGTGCCTTAAATACCGACTACGAGTGTGTTTGGGAATAGAACTCATGTGGTGTGGTCGGTGTTCATGCTCAGACAAAAGCCGTAGATTTTAATATATAGATCCTTTTGACCAGACAGATGTTTTATTGTACATTGAGCATGTTGTTATTTGAGCCTTTGCTGTGGACATGGTAGGCTTTCTTGGAGCAGCTCATGCAGGGTTCCAAGTTGTTCAAGTTGTGACGAGTGACACAAAGTAGTGAGGACGACGACTTGTTTTGCGTGCAGTGTTTGGTGAGTGTTTTCTTTGATCCCTCCTGGTTGATGCAAGATGTGCCTCAGGCTTTGGTCATGTAGTGGCTCGCACCAGCGCACTTGGAGCCGAGGCCTCCTTTGGAGAAGCTCACAGGTACACGGGAGACATCGCAGCATGTCAGGGCTTCCCTGGCAGCGCCCGGTGGCCTAACTGGCCTAGTGGCCTAGCGAGAATTTGGGTATCAGAAGCCTTGCTGTACCCACCAGCTTAATTGATGAAATGCTGATGGCATCAAAAACACGAATACTGCAAAGCAGACACATATTGCTACAGTGAATACGAGCATGTAGAGCTCGGCAAAGCTGTAAAGCTGCAGTGGCTAAAGCACCCCAAGAGCGCAAGCAGGAGTGTTCTGGAGCTTTGCTCCATCTTTGGACGGCAGCTTACCGTGGTCTTGGAGCCCAGAGAGCAGAATAGAGCTTCGCGTGTCCCACGGTCTTATACTGTAGTGTTTTACTTCAGTCTTCAGTGTGTTTGAGATTGCTGCATGATGGGACACCGATTGGTGTTTTCACAAGGAGTTTCCCATTACCTGTAAACATCATATGACACATCACACAAAAATACATATGTACCAGTTGCAAGAGATAAAGTGGGGCCAAGGATCATCTCGTCAACATTTTCCTGCAGCTGATCAGGCCATGGTTGGCGTCATTGGATGTGTGTTTGTATGATGATCTGGATCATTGGTGTCAGACCTTGTGAGAGGCACCTCAGGCACTACCCCTCTCTCACCCGCCACACAATGCCAGCGCTTGTAAGGGACGAATGCCCCGAAGTTCGGCTGCAGCTCCTCAACAATTTAGAGTACCTCTCGTCCTCTGTGCGGACGCCTGGCAAACGCACAAGGAACCAAAGTTCACACATCAAATACTTTCAGTGTATTGACACTTTTGGGGTGTATTTGACGCACGTGTCCGAAGTTTTTCGGTGTTTAGCTTTGCACACTGTCAATATTCGGAGGATGCAATATTATGTCCTTCTGAAGACCCGCGCTGGCACAAGAGGAGGTGTTCAACTTGTCAACTTCAGGGTAGTCTTTCTTGTCCCTCAGCACTTCCGCTTTTTTGATTGGGCCAAGCAATCGGCAATCAGCCGTGCTGGCACACCATGAGCATGTTGCAGAGCTTCCAGCTTCACACTTGAAGTTCACTTCACTATTTTCCACATCAATCGTCACTGATGATGACAATGACACTCTACTGCACCTCCTAACTAAATTTATGTCATTTACAGTATATAGATCAAGACTAGAGCACCAGCAGTCAGATTCTTCTAGCACCTGTTCTTCAAGCAATGTCGGTTGATCTTGAGAATTCCCAGACGCCCCATACGCCTCTTTGGACCTTAAAGGCGTGCCAATTACTTGGAGCTGCTGCCTGGGCTTGCTTCGGACGTTTCATTAATGTGTTTTGGTCCGATGTGGGTGTCACACGAGCAGAGATTGGTGCCTTGAGCCTAGCAACGATGATTGCTTCCTTCATTGGACAGCTTTTTTGGTCCATGGTGACAGACCGCCTGGGTGAGTACAAGCGGGTTTTGGTTGGTACATCACTAGCTGGCACCATCATCATTTTCTTCAACCTCGTGCCAGCAGTGCAAGTGAGTTTTTGGTGGTTGGCTCTGGTATGTGTGAGCAGCTCTTTTTTCCTCTCCACTGGTGGGCCAATCATTGATGCCATGTGTTTGTCGGTCCTCGCGGAGCAGGAGAGTGAAGAGCAGTATGGGGAGCAACGCTTGTGGTGTGCAGTAGGCTGGGGTGGCATGAGTTTGATTGCAGGGCAATTGATCGACACCTTTGGCTTGGGCTTCATGTTTTGGGGCTTTGCTTCAATCCAGGCAATCTATTTGTCCGTATGCTTGTTCTACATGCCCATGCGCAAAAATAAGCAGCAAGCTGGGAGTGGCGAACAATCATTGACCCTCAAGCAGTTCTTGAACTTTGATGTGCTTTGGTTCTTCGCCAACCTCATCGTGTATGGCCTGGCAATGTCTGTAGTAGAGTCCTTCCTCTTGGTCTTCCTGAACGAGGATTTTAACGACACTCCAAAAGTGTTGCTGGGTGCCAGCACGACTGTGATGTGCCTATTTGAAGTACCGGTGTTCAGATACATTGACAGCCTTTGGGCAGAGCGAAAAGAGAGGCTCACCTCAGTGCTCATGGCCTGCAAGCTGGTTTTGGCCTTCCGTTGCTTTTGCTACACACTACTTCCGGCCTCGAACCCATGGTTAGTGCTCTTGATTGAGCCCTTGCACGGCTTCACCTTTGCAGCCATGTGGTCAGCAACAGTTGAGTATGGTCAGCGAATAGCTCCACCAGGCTGTGTTGCAAGAATGCAGGCCTTAGTCAATGGCATCTACTACCAGATTGCCATGGGCATTGGCACTGCGATGTGGGGACCCCTTGTAATGCAACCTCCCGGAGGCCTTGGATTTCAAAACTGCTTCCGACTGGATGCTGCAGGAATTATTCTTTGGGGCCTGATTTGGCAGGCAGGTTTGATGATCCGACGTCGACGTCAAGCAGCCAGAAGTGCTGCGATCATCACAGCAGAACAGCCTTTGGCTGAGATTGCTCCGCAGGCCTGATGTGCTTGGTTTTTGCCTTCACTGTAGGGAATGGCCAAGCAAAAAGTTGAACCCAGAGCAAACACCCGAGCTGCTTATATACATATGGGAGGTGAACTGCCCTTTTCTGGGTGTTCACATGGAATATGGGGTTTGGACTCCCTTCACCTTTGCCTAATTTTGAAGCAGATGTCCAAACTTTGCTGTAAGAAACAAGGATGGACCTGCATGGATTTGCTTGAATCCCAAAGCTCATGGCCTTTGATATCCCGTCTCACCGTCGCAAGCTGCTAAGCTTTCTCAGCTTTTCTCGAGTTTCTCAGGTGGGTGTGGAGGTGGTGGGGCAATCTTTGCTGCCATCCATAAAGGCTGGATGCTTAACTTATCCATTTTGCGAAAGAGCCAATCAGTTCTCTGAATCTCTGCAAAACGAACAAGTGCTGTTTGTCTATGGTTCCGGCAGCTCTCAGAACCAGGACTTGGGCAAAGACCGGCAGTGGAGAATACGGCTCGCCATCATCAATATCATGCCAAGAGCCAAGAGAAGTGGTTTTCAATGGTTTTCACATGTCTTTACACTTCTGGAAACGAGTACTCAGTGAGTACTCTATGCAGCCATAATGACACAGGGTTGTAAGGTTTTTTGAGCCAGCTCCCAGAGAATGGTGGCGTAGCACTTGCCCCTCTTTGCTTTGTACTTTGCAAAGAGCTTTGCAAACTGACCACTTTGCTATGCTATAGCCATAGTCGCCTCCTTGGTTGACTTCTGTGAGTGCCCCACTCTCTGTTGGCCTCAGGCCGGACTTGGCGAAGTATCTCGGTGAGGCAAGACACCTTTACTAGGTTTAGCAAAGAGGAAAGAGGACAACAACAGACTCTTCTGGAACTGTCATTGTATACACACACGAACACTGGGAACAAGAAGCATTCGTTTTGAATGCCCTGTACGGGTGCCGCATGGTCTAGCGGAGTCCCTGCTACTCTTTTTAGGTTGGAGGCCATCGCTATTAGGCTGGAGGCCATCGCTAGTAGGTTGGAGGCCATCGCTATTAGGCTGGAGGCCATCGTTAGTAGGTTGGAGGCCATCGTTACTGTCTTAGGCACGAGGCCGTTGGGTGTTTTCTTTTTGCTCTCGATGTTTTCTGAACGAGAATCCGCATCCCTCCAGGCAAAGTTCACCTCTGAGCTCGGTAGCCTTTTCGGTGCATGGCTCACGGATCCTGTCTTCTCTGTGAGGTGCGCTGTAACTCTTTTCGCCGCGTCTCGGCGCTTGGTTGGAACGCTCCAAAAGCAAAAGGAATCTAATAGGAATGGCCTCCAACCTAAGGGCGATGGCCTCCAGCCTAGTAGCTTCCAACCTAGAAGCAATGTGTTATTTGCCTCATAGCCCTTGGCATGTGACTCAACGTGAGAGATCGATACAGAATCCATGACCTTTCTGACAGTCATCCATTTGGCATGCTTCGGGATGGACTAACTATGACTATATAACTTGACAAAACCTTTGCCCTCAACAAGTTAGGCCTTCATGGCTACTCTACCGAACATGGTACGCGGAACACATTTGAGTGCAAATTCAGGGTTTAACTCATTTGGGGCCCCAGTTTGGTTCAGACACATTTGACACTTCTCGCCTTGTCAGGACGAATTTACACACTGTAAGCACCAGACACAGTCAAAGTCTGAGTCGAAGCATTCTCCAGCAAGCAAATGATGGCACAACACAGGGCATCACAAGAGCAATTCAACTCCCATTGGAGCACCTTGCCAAAGCAGTTGATTCCATGTTGTTTGCGCTCTCAAAGCAGTGTGACGCTTAGTCCCACAATCCTTTGGCGCATACCCAAGTGAAGCATACCCAAGTCTTTGTTCCAGAGCCATGAGCCGTGTGGTGGCCGGATTCCTAGCTGTAGCTGGGTGAAACACCGAAATGGAAGGAGATGTCGGCTTTCTATTTTTGCTTTATGGTGCTGTATGGCTTTCGGGAGTCAGAGCACTTTTTGAGTCTTTTCAGGTGGACTCTGTGACATTGGGTGCCACCGGTATCCTTTTGATATATGATATGTTGCTTTGCATTGTTTTGCTGCATAGCTGCATAGCCGCATAGCCTTTCCAATAACACATACCAAATACCTCTCAGTCTTTTGAACATCACTTGACACACTTGCAGCCTGGCGTTTTCACAAAACAGTCATGAGTTTGCTTCCCCTGCTTGGAAGACCTAGGTCTCGCGACGAGGCACGGGGGAAGCAATTGCGGTGAAATGGGTGTTCCCACTCTGAAAACAGCAACGATCCACTTAAAGATATTCCACCTTGTGATTTAACAATTTAAGCACATCACGTCACCTTTAAGCACATCAGTGCCACTTGGAAAGCGGAGACAAGACTTGGAGGGCTTTGCCTGGAGCGTGTGAGGCCAGGAGGGCCCCATGGCACCTCTGTTGGCGTCCATCCCTGCCACGGTACGGAGAACTGGACTGCGGGGTGGGTGGCCTTGTCATGGCACCGGCGGCTCAGTGGTTTTGGCACGTTACCGGTAGGTTACTGTAGGAAGATTAGGAAAGTATGTTGCTACAGGCTATGCTGTAATTGGAAAGAGGATTTCTTTCAGGCACGAACTGCGTGACTTCGTTCTTCCACCCTCAACACAGCGTTCGAAACCTTGGTGTTAAGATCTGTCCTTAAGGCCACGGGTCATAAGGACACTGTGCTCAAGCAAACACCCGAATTGCGTACGGTTGTTGATTGCTGAAGCACTAGCGTGCAAAGTGCGCAAGCTTTGCTTTTATCAATTGTTTGATTGTGGTTGTGTTCTTCAATTTTCAAAGTTGGGATACTTATCGGGATTCATTGAGACATGTTTGAGGAATGTAGGTCTGACAGAGCCATTCCTTGAGAAACCTCGCCAATACTCTGACGCTGCTTGAACCTTCTGATGAAACGCTAAGGAAAGATCAAGCGCATAAACTCATGTTGTGGTGAGATGCTGAAGTCTTGTTCTTTTTTGTTTGTGTAGGCTCAGCGTAAGGCTTTCATGTCCCCTGCAAGGCGGTAAGCCAGACGCATTTTGTTATGACTGTCTGCTCCAAAGAAGGTTTTTGAACAACGTTCCCTGGGTTCTATCACGACCTAAGAAGTTAAGTTGGTACTTGCATGCAGCATGCACCTTTGCACCTGCACTTGAAGGAAGAAAGGACATACAAGGACAGGTCCAAATGCGAACGAGGACAACTCACGAAGCTGATGCTGTCCACAAAACACCTCGCTTGACCTCACTGGATGCAGCTTGAAGAATGCTTGAGCTGCTAATGCTTCTTTAAGATTCTTCAAGTCTCGCCAGAAGGTTTAAAGAAAAAAAAAAGTGCTTGAACATGCATTCTGTCTCCACTTTTGTGCTACGCGAAACGCCACTTTTGTAGGTGGAGATCTCACCCTGGATCGACGCCACACAGGTGGGGTTGTTGGAGGGAGGTTGCTGGAACCAATGGAAGTGGAGAAGTTTTTGAGATCATGGCCTTCTAAAGGTGAACACGTTTTGAACGGTTGTTTAAAGCAATGTGTATATATAATACTATATAGTACGATTGTTATTATATAGATATTATTAGTATTACTAAAGATAATGTAGTATTATTCTATATTATATATAGTATATGCTTATTTTGTTCTGCTCGACAGGATGAAACCGGAAAATGGCAGCTTCCAGAGTACCCGTGTGAAATACAAGGACGAGCTGAGGGCTCATGTTGACAGGTGGTCCCTTTGCAAACTCCAAGGCAGCCAAAGGGGATGCTGCGACTTTGCGAACAAATGCTGGGACTTGACAAGCCGGCCAAAACAACCAGAAGTGCATTCCTCATTCAATTGAGGATTCTTGCCCACCTTCTTGCAGGACTCTCACCTGATGACCCCAAGAACGTCAGATGGAGGTGCCTGCAGCAACCGGCTAAAAGCAATGAAGCATACCCTCTGGAAGCCTACTTGCAACCATTGCTCAGGCTGTTTGTTGCAGCTCTAGGATTGGAAGTACCGAGATTCACATGACTAGGAGCAAGGACGCTACTAGGGGCTCTTGGCCTCACTACTAGTAACAAGAAGCTACTAAGGGCTCCTGGCATCGCTACTAGGAGCAAGGACGCTACTAGTTTTTGGTAAAGCTTGGAAGAGTGAAGTTGAACGAGCAAGGCCTGGCGAGTACAACATGGGGGTGGACAATGTTGATTACAAAGAGGATGTGAGGAACTGAGGGAATAGATTATGTACACGAAGAATCCAAGACTCAAATGAAGAATCCTTGCTTTGCTTAGTAGGTTGGAGGCCACGGCTTGCAAAGCGAATGATACTCTTCGAGTCCCGTGCTCCGTACATGGAAAATGGCTGACCATGGCCGAGGGGCCGCAAGAATGGGGCGGCCAGCGCCTTTGGGATGGAGACCGGCCGTCTTCTGGCTGCAAATGGGCCTTGTGGTCGGGAAGAGTACAAAGAGATACAAAGCTTGGCTGAAAGTTGATATTGTTTTCGTTGCGGACTATGTGACTATCTATCAAGCCAGTTGATTGGTTCCTGATGGATTCAAGCAGATTCAGTTTGAAGCTTCATGGGTTAGGGGTTCGGTTGCAGCGGCCTTCGGCTGCCGAAATTCGCACAAGGCCACGAGAGTGGAATCCAAAGAGATTGCCGGGCAACGTGCAAGAGCTCTTGAAGGCACTGTTCTTGGTTCTTGAAATGGTCATTGCATGTCATTGCTTTAATTATTGAAGGGCACATTTGTCCCTTGGTTGGGTGATATGGGAGGCAAGGCATTTGTGAGGTTGGCGGCTGTCACACAGAGATGCCTGCGCAGAGGCAAGAACTCAACTCTGCCCCTGCAATACTAGAGACTAGAACCTTTTAAAACCAGAAGGCGCCCAAATCACACAACACATTAAGCTTGCTGATGCCAGAGATGCAGAGTCATTACCCGTGCGGTGCCAGCCACATTTTAAGCTCAAACAAAACAGAAAGCAGCCCCTTTATATTTGTGGAAATGGCAGACAATTCTTCACACAAGCTGAAGCTCGCAGGCGCAGGGAGAGTTTTGTTTTGCATGTGCAAGCAAAGCAAGACGCCGAATTGACTCCGGTGCAAAATTTGTTTGGATCACTGAGCGCAATGAGGGAACTTGCATTTGTCAGGAGGCGTGGCCTTGGGTGCGACCGCTTTATTTTTGGTTTCCAAAGCACTAAAGAAGTCTGTGAAAGACTCGGTGCGAAGGGAAGCTTCCTCTTCTTTTGATGCTCAGCATATGTAATGTATGTAGTGCCTTTTCTCATGGAATGGTTGTTGAGCCGATATCTCCCAAAGATTTGCGAGGTTTGCTTTTCAATCCTTTGTGTTCTAACTTTTTCAGACTGCAACCTCCTTGGGATCAGTGACTCCAAGGAGTATCACCTTGCAGTCCATTGCGCAGAGGTGTCAGAGGTTACTTGGCCAGTCGGACATGTTTTTTTGCAACAATATCAGTGTTTTGTTTTTCGATGTTTGAGCCGCGCAGTAGGACACTATGAGAGAAGCTTTCATCCATGGTGTCTTCTATAGAAACACCATAGTGTCTTGTTTGCTTTCATCTATGTTTTATGAAACACGACAATACATGTTTTTGCTCTTGGACATTTGTGTGTTGTCACATACTCATGTTCGCACATAAGAGACGTATGCGGTGCAGTAGTCAGTATTCTTTGAAGTGTGTGCTGGCCCTCCTTTGTGAGAAGGGCAAGTCCTGTACATCACGACATCCAGCAACCGTTCAGACTTGGACTGTATGGGACCTTGGACGCGGGCAGGGCTGGCATTTGGTGAAGCTCCACAAGGCCGCGGACATCAAAGAGCAAGGCGAAGTGACAGCTGCTACACTAGGCATTGATTTGAGCCTTGGCAAAACACCTGTCATTCAAAACAGAGCTGCTGTTCACCAATCCTGTGACAAATATAGGTCGCACAAGCCAGTATTGAAGGAAGACTCGGTAAGTGATCTTATGACAGGAAACCTCACTGTGCGAGTAGCCATTTCAGAAGCCTTTCAGGACAGGCTTTCACCTCTATCCGGTCGAGAGAAGGACTTTGGATGGGCCTTGCATCAAGCTTGGGGCAAGCCTTGCTGATGCCTCTGGCTTGGAAAATCATCTCCTGGCTTTGACGCCTGATCGTTTGCAGGTGAGCCTGGGCATGGACATTGTCAGTTCCAGAGCAATTTCCTCGGGGGAATTACTGTACTCATGTGGCGGTAAACGTGTGCCAGGTAGTTGAGCTGGTGTGCGCAAGGGAGATGCCGCGACCTGCAGACGTGCCAAGGGGCCCTGCAGCCTTCCCAATTTGTGGTATCCAACTGCCGTTCATCGGAACAACGTATAAGCTCTTCCAAGGACGGTGTGATGCCTAAGCACAGGAAGTGTTTGCATTCACTGCAACATTTTGAGCATGCCCCAATATGCGCAAACATCAGCATTGCCAAACTCGTCAAAGCACCAGCTTGAGACTTGAGGCATGGCGTCTGTGGAGGAACAAGGAACACCGTACATCATTCTTAGGGCTTCCGGATTGTGACCCTCAAAGTTCTTTGGAGCCGTACTGAGCTTTTCAGAGCTGTCGCCAGGACCTTACAAACTGCCAACCTACAACCTTGCTCACAACGTCTTCCCGCCAAGCGAGTACCCTTACGGCGCGACCGTGCGATCGCACAGCGGCCAAAGACAAGAGATCGCTGACTTCCCAACTGGAATCTTGACCATTCACTTGATGAGTTGGCAAGCTTTTTGTAGGCAGACCATGTTGAAACATGTTGAAACCCATCATTAGTTTTGGAACCCAACCCTTTTTGCATTCCTGGGTTGGAACAAAAGGTACGGGATCGAACACCTGCTAAAAGTACTCTTGTTTGATTCAAGTACTTGTGGTTTTAAACCCACTATATATATATATATTATATATATTATATATATATATTATATATTACATATATTATATATATTATATATTATATATATTATATATGTTTGTTTCTTTTTAACGAAATCCATTCAACATCCTTTTCTAACCCTGCAAGACACCAGATGGGAACCTGAACACGACTGTGATGATTCTGTGGGCCATCCTCGATGCTGCAGCAGTCGTGGTAAATGATTCATGAACGACACGTGGTTAGTCACCCGGGCAGCTGTAGGCAGCGTTATGCGCATTTCTTCTTTCCACGTGTCGTTGCCATAGCATCCACAACAGACATCATTATCCCCACCCGCCCACCCACCCACCCACCTGAAATGTAGGTGGTTTCTACGTCTAAGACGTAGTATGCACACTATAATAGCTCAGGGTGTGTGACTGTCGTCTATCATGTCTATCGTATTCCTCAAGGCTCAAGGGAATCACAGCTTACCGCGATAAAAGACACTGCTTGCCTGCGCCTTCACAGGCCGTACGCGGTAGTCACTCTTTCTCCCCCACGGCCTCCCGCAGCAATGATCCACTTAGCAACGTCGTTGCCGTAGCATCCGCGACGAACGTCATTATCCTCACCCCACCCCATATGTGTGTGGATGACAAACTTGACAAAATATCTATGACCATTATATCAATATCTATAACCATATCATGACCATATATTATATACGCACTGCGCAGCAAATCCGTTGCATCACAGCATGATCCAGGCAGCAATGTCGTTGCGCAATGATCCACGCAACACTGTAGTTGCCATAGCATGAAACAACTAGGGCCAAGGCTCTTCCAGTGAAGGCGCCAGAGGTGGAACGTGGCAACTAGGAAACATCGACCGCGGCTAGCTCCCGCAGCAGTTGTGGCCAAGCGCGCGGTGAATTTTGGGCTGCGCGGGTGGTAGGCCAGGAGAAATAGCGATAGATAGGGCAGTTAGGATAGGCAAACAGAAAGAAAGGTAGATGTTGATAAACAGATATTCAGCGATAGATAGATAGATAGATAGGCAGATAGATAAATAAAGATAATAAAGAGAGAGAGAGAGAGAGAAAAAGAGACAAAACACAGACAGACACTTAGGGTCCCAGTGGCCAGTACCCATCAAGTATATGACCAAAGACACCGATGGTCGAAGAAGGAAGGAATCACCTCAAGCGCGGCCTCCTTCTTTGGAAAGCACCGGAATGGTTGCGTGACTATTGTTGCCGCTTGATACACCCAAGGTTTTGGATTGTTGGGGCGATAAGTACGCGGAATATGATCTCAATCCGTGTCACGAGCACTCATTTCCATTAACGTCCGCAGCATTTTAAGTAAAAGGCTGCCCAACATTGGTGTTGGTTTTTCAGGTTCTTGTTCAGCTAGTGGACGTACAACTGGCCCAGTTTTTTAACCTGGAAACCTCCTATTTCCACTGTGTGTGTGTTCCTGGGGGTCCAAAAAGATAAAGAAGTGGGTTCCTGGGTTAAAAGAGTTTTTCTTATTTGTTTCTAGGCGTTGAACGATATATAGGTCTGGATGAAGTAAAGGTTCCCGGCTTAAACAAATATTGCAATTCTTGTGTTGTTGCTCGTAGCATGTCCCTTGTCCCCGCTGCAAGTCTCACTCTGTCAGAACAGACAGCAGCAATGCCTTGCGCCGGACATATACGTATGCGTCGGAGTGTTTTTTAAGTTATTTATACCAACTTGACAGGGGATTGCTTTTTCCATATTTTGGTGTAGAGGGCTTCGCCATTTACTACACTAGCCAGGAACCATCTTCAACGACAGTGCTCACTATACAGTCACGATGACTGCAGATGCCAACATCGTGAAAGAGTTGATTGATCGAACGGCAGATTTTCCAAAGTTGTGGAACAGAGGATTCCAGATCCCATTGCAGGGCTTCACAGCGAACGGGTTATTTACGAGCAGTGAGACTTCAGATGATTGGAAGACGGCGCACACTTTGCTTCCAAGAGGCTTTAATCAGATCAAGATCAAGAGCTTTGCGCCACAGATTTTTGCCAAGACTCGGGCCTTTGTCCGTGAGTGGTCCAACTTCAAAGCTGGTCACAAGGTGGAACATGTGAATGATTGGCTCACAGCCATGACTGCAGATGCTGTGGTCTCTTGTAGTATGGGCATGGACATGCGAAATGTGGAACGTCTTGGAGCAAAACAGGAGCTTCCTTCCATGTTCTTTGATGTTTTTTGTGTCTTTGGGGCTTTATGACGCAAGCGGCCAAGAGATAAAGTGGCAACTTAATGTCATGTTTACTCTGACTTTATTGGCGATTCCGCTCAGGAGCCCCACAAGTTTGTGGAGACGTTCCGCTCCGGCCTGGGACTCTCTGTTGGAGCCATCTCTGAGAAGTCGGAGTACGGCCTGAAGCGATTCCTCCCTTTCTTTGATGCGAAGGGGAAGCTGAAAGCCAAGTTTGACACAGTGAAAAAAGAGATGGAAAGACAAGTGGAGGACTCTGATTCAAAGCGGTCTTCAACTTGACCCTAGAGCTCATGGTTGTAAATTGGGTAGCAACTGTTCTTGACACTTTTGAGGATTTGGTGGAAGCCACAAGACAAGGAGAAATCGGCAACCAAGACTCGATCATCAGACGCATGGCACAAGTGCCATTCTGCAGCGTGTGATTCGACCATCCGATCCTCAGTGCAGTCTCCCTCTCCCTCAGGTCACCGGTGGCCCACGTGACATGTTTGCGACATGTTTGCTGAAACCAAGGAAGCATGTTAGAAGACCGGACTGCAGATGGAAAGCATGTTCGCTACGGAGCTTTGTATGGGCATGCTCCAAACTTAGCTTCGTCGCACGCGCCGCTTGTGAAAGTGCGATTAAATGGCACAAGCGGCAAAGATGTGATGCGCAGTTTAAGAGACCAGTGACTCCTGATGCAATTGAGTATGAATCAAGTTTTGTTTGCAGTAGGGGAAGCTCGAGTGACAAGTATATATATGCGCTGAACCCTGGAAATCCTGAGGTGGTGAATTTGATGATTGCAGGACACGAGACTACTGCGGCCACCTTGGGTTTTACCCTTCAGCAACTTGGCACACACGGTGATTTGCTGAAAGACAGGGTGGGAATCCAAAGCCCAGTCAGGAAGTGTGTTGTTTTACCTCTTGCCATTTTTTTTGTGAAATCCTTTCTGTGACCAGGCTTTTGGCTGAGAACCCGGAGTACGAAGCTCGAGCATTGGAAGAGGTGCGGCAAGTGCTGACTCTCGGCGCAAGTGTTCCATCCACGGATTGTCTGTCCCACCCCCTTCAAAGGCTTGGCATTGCTTGTAGTTTGAACCGGAAAAAGTCGACCGCGACCAATTTTGTGCAAACAAGTTTCAGCCATTTTTTCACACCAAGCAGTTTCGCTGAAGAAGTTTCGCTGCCGCTCAAGAAAGACTCATTAGTAGCGTCCTTGCTCCCAGTAGCGATGCCAGGAGCCCCTAGTAGCGTCCGATCGCTCCTAGTAGCGACTCGTTCCAGGAACGGCCGCGCAGAGCCCTCAGTGGATGATGTGCCAAAGCTCCAGTTCGTGGAGCAATGCTTCCGTGAAGCCCTGCGACTCTATAGCCCGGTCACGAGCCTCACTCGCGACGTGGCCTACGACACGCTTTTGGGAGGCCATCGAGCCTTCCAGGGTGAAAGGACTTTCAACGAGAGTTTTGAGCCATTTTCTTTTGAGCTACCAGTAACAATGTTCGCTAATAGGGGCTCCTGGCATCGCTACTAGGAGCAAGGACGCTACTAGGAGCAAAGGGTGCCAATGAGCTACTAGGAGATGAGTTCTTTTGCGATCTGTGCTTTTCACCCATTTCCGTGGACACCCATCTTGGTGCTGCCCAGCGCAGGATCGTGGTGGTGACCCGCGCGCTGCACACTAATCCTGAGTAATTTGGGCTGCGGACAGGGTGGGTGATGTTTGATTCCTGAAAGTGCTTTCACCTAACTAGGAGCAAGGACGCTACTAGGCTCTCCTGGCCTTACTACTAGGAACAAGGACGCTACTAGGGGCTCCTGGCATCGCTACTAGTAACAAGGGCATCGCTACTAGGAGCAAGGACGCTTTGGCTCAACAGGGCTGTGGCTCTCGGAGAGCTAGAACATCCACAAGTCTTGTGCCAGTAACAAACATGATGTTGACTCTTGAGTGTTCCCCGCGGATCAAATCCATGAGACTCCTGAATAAGGAATGATTCTGGAAAAACATGAACAATCCGAAAGAATTTAAAAGGAAATCAACACATATCAAAACGAATCAAAAGCAAATCAAAAGGAATCAAAGGAAATCTAAAGGAATCCATAGGAATCGGCAGGAAATGAACAGGAACCAACAGGAAATCAATAGGACATGAAAAGGAGTCAACAAGACATACTTAGGAAGCACAACATATGATTTATATACTGTATAATTCATAATGAAAACCATAGACATTATTGCAGCTGCAGGAGATGTTAATGAGATATAATAATTACAGCCCACCGGTGCAGACAATAGTCAAGGGGGTCAACAATCGAAGCGAAAAGTGCGCAGACAATAATTGGGGGGGGGGGGGGTAACGAATCAACAGTCTACATTAAACCACATCTCAACATTAACATGACTTTAGAAGATTCTAGGTCCTCTGTTAAAGTCTTGTGATGAGGTACTGGGGTGGTGAATTTGGAGATCCGTTGCGCTTCAATCCGGACCGCTTCTCTCCTGAGGTGGGAAATGATGCACGTGTTAATACCGAGAATCTGTTTTACATCCGATAAAATGTTTAATTTGCATTGAATACGATAAATTTGACATGCTGATAATTTGTTTCCATCAGATGGCCTGTAATGACCCCAAGGCATAACAACCCAACCACATGCAGCACGACACGCAGGTCAACTGGCAACTACCTGACTCCGCCTGACTCCCTGACTACTGTCGCCAGGCGGTACAGAATCGACATCCAAACGCCTACCACCCCTGGGGCTTCTCCACCCGTGCCTGCATCGGAAGTCAGTTTGCTCTCTTTGAAGCAAAGACCCTTGGACAAGTCTTGCATTCATGCCTTGCGTTCTGCATGATCGAAAGGCATTGGACATGCCTTCATAACAACCCCAACGTAACGTGCTTTGAGTCAAACGTGTTGGGTGCCTTCCTCATTGTTTTCACGTAACCTATTCATCCTTTTCAATCGGGGTCTTCTTGGGTGCTTTTCGCTTTTCTTGCAGTGCGCCTAAGTCGGCGTGACAACTTACTTATTGTCAAGGGCAAGGGCCAGAGGGTCAGGGGGAGGGTTGGCAGCTTAAGGACCTTCTTGGCGTCAATGTTGATCCACTTCCGCTTGCAAGGCCAGGTGTGTTCCAAGGACCCAGAAAGCAGGATTGATGCTTCGGCCAAGTTGAAGCGCGAGAAGAGTGTTTCGTGACCATTACTGGCAGATATGTTCACATAATACGCTTCAGATATAAACATGTTTCCACCAAAACAGCGGAAGAACTCACATCGATGTGGATGTTCGTTTCATTGCCATTCTTTGAGCACCCTGTGAGGCATCCCAGGGTACAAGCTCGTGGCCTCCACTGAAGCTGGTGGTGCAGCCCCATCGCCTGATAACCTAGCCTTTCAGGTCAGAGCGACGACTGCCAGAGACGAACATCAAGTAGACACACAGACAGACATAGACGGATACCATAGGCATCCATAGGCATTCATAAGATGTTATGATATTTCATTCTGGAATATCACAGATTCTGATCAGAGCTTCTGTGTGTGGTTTGTTTCCTTCTGAGCGTTTCATATCAAACTCATGGGTTTTCAATGACAGGGTCAACAAGTCTCTCGGTGTGCGGCTAGCTAGTTATTTTGTCTACTTTATCTTCTTCTCAAGAGATGCCTTGGCGAACCTTTGCCTGCTGAATCCAGCTGAAGTCTTCGTTCGCAGGTTTTCCCCAGGCCCGGCGGGCCGCTGTGGTCTGACAAGGGTCTCATGCAGCCACTGCCAGCATTCTCAGCACCGGAGCCACTTGACAGATTGTGTTTCATTTGGTTGAAAAGGCGACATATTATACATGCAAAACGGCTATATATATATATATGTAAATACATCAAGATCATTAAATCAATACAGTTCATGAAGCAGGCAGACAAGGCCTGGGTTTTGTTAGATGTTCCTTCTAGTTTTTCCAAGTTTTAGATCGCCAGGAATGCTCTTATTTTCTTTGACAGCCCTTCTGACCTCCGAGCCTGGCACGGCTCAGGGTTGTCAAAGCAGCTCAGCCAGCAGAGAAGTCAGAGATGAATGGTGCTACGCGCGCGAAGACAGGGCCAGTGATGAAGGTACTTTATGGTTCCAACTCTGGTTCCAGCCGCTCGGAATGATAGAATGATGTCCAGAGCGCTAGAAGACTGGCCTGATAACTAGGGATGGACGATGACGAGCAAGCTAAGAATCTATGAAAATCATCGAACATTTAGTTTTCGCGCGGCAAAATTGAATGCAGTAACCAAGAAGAATCTGGAAACAGCCTTACGCTCACAAAACTCCGATTTTTATCAATGATGCAGTAGATACAAGTGCATTCTGAGTACTTGTATACAAGCTATGTTGGCCTCGCTAATCTCATCAGAACTTTTTAGCGCAGCAAGGGAAATTATGTGCTGGTCGAAGGTGGGTTTGCCATGTACGGATACGAGCAAAGCATAGCAAAGATAAACCCTCGACCGGTTGTGCTCTTGACATTAATTAGGGCATCGTGCCATTTTTACGTGGATTTCTGGACAGTTTCTTCTGGTGGATTTCTGGACAGATCATTGCGAGGCCTCGAAACCTCTGAGGTCAAGACTTTGCCAGCCAAGTCGAAGCTGCGGCAGGTCGAAGCGGCTTCCAGTCTTCGCTTCACTCGATGAGTCTTGGCTAAGTAGGACCTCATTCTCAAATTCCAAACTGTTTGAAGGGGATGATGATGCATCGACCTCAAAGCCTACCCGGTACTGTAGAGCATGTGAACAACGTCTCAATATCAAGGGTTTGATTCTCCAACGGGTTTCGATTAGGTGCATCAAAGTACATGAGTTTAATATAGTCTAATATACTATATACCTATATGCTTCCCTTGCGTGCGTTCGAGTTTTTTGCATGCTTTACAATGCTTGGCTCTAAGGAATCAGGGTGTCTCCGAAGAGCTTTTGGTGCCAGATGGACGCTTGGTCATCATTGTCACCTCTACGCCTCTCGTCTGTCATGGCGGCGGGATCTTTGGGCTTTTGAGCACATCTAAGCACCCCCACTTGTTCTGAGGAATATTTTACCTTCGCCCAGGCAGACCTGGCCATCGGCCACGGCCTGAAGCAAACCCCTTGGTGTTTGGATGCGCTCCAGAGCGCACGCCCTCAGCTTGACCGAACTACTGGTACAATGGACTGTACACTGGGTTCTGAATAGACATGGTAGCCGATTTCAAGGTCGACATAAGGCCTAGGTTCATTGAGAGCCTCTGATGATGTTGTTCGCAAAAGTTTTGTCGAGTTCGCGCAAGTAACATTTTTTTGTGAAAGATCTGCGGAAGCTAGGTATGTGGAAACAACCAAACCAAGAAGACTTCTAGGATACACCCCGCGCAAACGTTAAATGGAATTCGTGAAACATCAACGAACATACAGTTGGTTTATGCATTGTTGTTTTTTTCCGCGAACAATTGCGTTTCAGCAATGAATAACAAAAGTCCAAAAGGGGAACTGGGCAGGTTTTTACACGGTTTCACACCAAGCCATGAAGCCCCGCTTGTCCTGTCACTTTGGCCGATGAAGCTGTCTAAGGTACAACGGCATGCCGCCTGACAATGCGGGTAAGTTCAAGAAGTGGCTTCAGACTCAGAAACCCGACTCCTTGCAGCTTGACGTCAATTGTGTGAGAGGGACATCGAGAGGAGGGCGGAGCAGCCTGCAGAACGTACGGGGCTTGTGCTTTCAGGATCGCTTGTCGGTGCTGTTGGGTTCACAAAAAGTAAGGGGACACTGAGCAGAATGCAACCAGTCCAAGCGCCTTCCCTTGATCTCCTCAAAGGGGACTATCAGACTATCATTGCTTATGATTGATTAATTCATGGCAAGTAAACCCATCTTCGGTCAGCGGCTTCGCAGGCAAGGGCTGAAATATGCAGTCTTTGGAGTGGGAAACTCCCAATGGCATACATACCAGCAGTTCCCACGCGGCTTGGCTTTTCCTCGCATGTCAGACTTGGCTATAATGATAGATGAGACGCGTGGCAATATTGACCTAAAAGCAATGGCCTCCAACCAAATAGCGATGGCCTCCATCCTAGAAGCGATGGCCTCAAACCTAATAGCGATGGCCTCCATTCTAGAAGCGATGTCCTCCAACCTAATAGCGATGTCCATGCTAGAGGCGTTGGCATCCAACCTAATAGCGA